ATAAAAAAATGAAAATTTACTCTTAAATTATTTTCTATTGTAATATAACAATGACATACTTAGTTCAAATCTTAAATTATTATCGTGATATTAGATATATTTAGCAAGTGAGATTTAGCAAAAGGACGTCGGAGAAGATCGAGATTCTTTGATCCATTTAGTTTTTCATTTTAATGGGATTTATTTTCTTTCAAATACATTTCAAGGAAGGACTAGCTGCATGCTTCTGGTTATGGTAATAGCTGCTTTATATATATTGAAAATCTTGCACGTGGGTTCAACACAAGATTTGCATCCAACCTAAAATCAATTGGCAATAGGTGGAATGGTTTTACTTGTATTTAATCTACAAGTTTTTTCATTTTATACTCGATGTAAGATTTTCTCATTTAACACATCCCCTCACGTGCAGGCTTGCTATGAATGTCGAATCCTGTCACATGAATTAACACGCCCCTTTAAATGCAGGTCCGGTATCTTCAACTTCGAATCCTATAAGGTGGGCTAATAACGGGCTTCCACTGCGCAACTCTGATACTATATTAAAAATCTTACATGTGGACTCAACACAAAACTTGCATGTGGACTCAACACAAAACTTGCATCCAACCTAAAACCAATTGGCAATAGGTGGAGTGACATTCATTGTATTTAATCTACAAGCTTTTTCATTTTATAGTGTTTGAGCCACGTAAATATAAATCTTTTATAAATAATTAGTTGTAATATTTAAAAATATTAATTTATAAATTAATTTTAATTTATTAAATAATAAAAATTAATCATTTTATTATTTATAATTTATTTTTTTATCAACAAAATAAATAAATTTTATTATACAGAATATAAGAGTATTCCAATCCAAGTACAAAATTGAAGTAAAAACTAGTAAAAAGCCACTAACTTACTAGGAAATTACCACATGTACAGGAACATGAGAACCAAAAGCATCCCATCCACTTTGCTAAACCTGCTTCCCAATATGCAGCTTACGAAATTCCTTCTGCAACCTTTTATGCTTTGTTATAGCTAAAGCACATTCAATTGGATTAGCTTTTCAATCAAAAATAGAGAACATACATCCATCTACCTTGTTTTTAATTCAGAAAAACATCTTAGATTGAATCATCTCCAGCCACCCTTCCCCACCACTCCCTTTGTTCTGAAAAACTCTAAGATTGCTCCAAAACAAAATATACCATGAACCAACAAGAAAAAGACATGCTCCCAACTCTCTCCCTACAACATTACCCAACTCATACAAGAAGAATTCCATGACTCCCTCCACTGTATTTGGCATTACTACCTAAAAACCCCACCAAGACAACACCTTAACCCAAATTAACCAAGCCTCCTTACATGTACAAAATAAATGGTTGGACATTTCTTCCTCCTTATTACACAAAACACACAAAATCCCCTCCTCCTGCAAGACTACCCCTCTCTTTTTTAAATTCCCTTTTGTTGGAAGTCTGTCCAAACATAATCTTCACCCAAAAAAACTAACTTTTGAAAGTACTAATTTACACCAAACCATCTTACAAAAATGGTCAACAATAATACATTCCGTAGGAGACAAAACCTCATAAGCCCCCTTTACCACATACCTCCCTTTAGAATCATATAGCCACTTCTAGCAATCCTCGAGGCCTTCTCGAATTTGTACTCTGCTCAACACCTCCCACAGCACCTCCTCCTCATCTCTCTCTCTACCCAATCTCCCTTTTCTCCATTCTATATTCCATCTCCACCTATCCCCTTCCCACATTCCCATTTCACTAACCAAACCCTCCTTATTAATTGCCAAAGCAAATAATCTAGGGAATAAATCCCGTAAAGATTTATCCCCAACCCAAATCCCTCTCCAAAAACTTACCTATCTTTTGTCACCAACCATCCAACTAAACCCCTTCACCAGCATTGTCTTTAGTTGATTAGATTGCGCACCAATACTAATAACATCCCTCCAAATCCTAGACATCCTCACACTATCTATGGTAGTAATATCTACCTCCTGCCTACCCCCCATAATACTTATTCCACACTACCTGTTTCCATAAGCTCATGACACCAACACCTAATCTAAACCACCATTGCCCCAATAGTGCCCAATTTCTCCTCTTTAAATCCGACACTCCTAACCCACCCTTCTCCTTACTGCGACATACAACATCCCATCTAACCCATGGAATAATCCTCTTCAATTCAACCCCACCCCATAAAAAATCCCTTTGAATGCAAATCAACTCAAACACCATACACTTGGGCAATAAAAATAAAGATATGTAAAAAATAGGTGGAGCAGAGAGTACCAAATTGAGTAGAGTGATACGACCACTGGAGGACAGCAGAGCAGATTTCTAGACAACAAGCTTATCTCGAAATTTACTCACAACCAGATCCCATATCTTCTTATTCCCAGGATTTCTACCAATCGGCATACCCAAATAAGTAAAAGGTGTTTCCCCAACACCACATTTCAAAACACTTGCAACACCATTTAACCACTTTTGTGACACATTAAAACCAAAAATACTACTTTTACTATATTAATCCGCAATCCTGACATCAACTCAAACCACTATAAAATTGTTTTAACCATCAAAATATTCTCACTATTAGCTCTCCCCATAATTACCATATCATTAGCAAATTGGAGCAATGAAACCGTTAATCCCTCGCAGACCACGTCAATTCCATGTAACATTCCTTCTAACTCAACTTTTTTAACTAAGCCACATAAACCCTCAACTATCATCGAAAATAGAAACGGGGATAACGAATCACCCTACCTTAATTCTTTTCCCATCATAAGTCCTCTGTTGGGCTTCCATTTACTAGAATCGAAATCCTAGCTGTTGAAAGACACTACTTTATCCAACCTCTCCATCGAAATCCAAATCCAAATCTGCTCATCATGTAATCCAAAAAGGACCAATCTACACAGTCATAGGCCTTCTCAAAATCCGCCTTGAAGATAAAAGTTTGTTGCTTCTTTCTTAACCTCCTCAACAACTTTGGTCAAAACTAAAACGCTATCGACCAATTGACAACCCCTTATCACTACAAACAAAATGACCTATACTAATGGAGCTCTATACCAATGGATGGAAGTCTGTTTGTATAGACCTATGTATACCAACGGAAAACTTAAATAATCAGTATACATTAATCTATACCAATGGAAAAATATATCCATTAGTATAAGGTTGATTTATACCAACAGTTTATATTTATCTATATGTATAAAGTATATCTATTCCAACAATAATCATTATCCGTTTGTATAAATATATCTATACAGACGGATTACTGTTCCATGTGTATAATTCCCTATTCCTTAGGCACTTTATTTTCCTTCATCGCTGTCTTTCATTTTTACTTCCCTCCATGGATTCCCCATTTTCCCTCTCTAATTTTCGAGCTTCCTTCCACAAATCTCCAAAATTCATTCGAACCCATTCGAACTCAAAAACCCAAAATTTAATTAGACGTTTGGCCGTCCAAAAGACCACCAGAAGAAGACTCAAAGCTCTTGTTTGATCCCGCTCCTTGTACTTTCCTTTACCCACAGAAAAAAGCCATGGTCGGAGGTCAATTTTGGCTTGTGCGACCCGACAATGGAGATCAAAGAAGGCAAATCGGAGGGTTGTGAGGGTAGGATCAGACATGGGTTTAGGCAATCCTCTTACCCCCTATAAATAGGTTGTTAAAAGGGAGATCAAAAACAATTTTTTTAATTTGTAGATCGAAAAAAAAAAAATGAAGTTCTTGGTTTACCCTAATTTCGGCTTGGAGAAAGAAACAGAGATTTCATGGATAATTCTAATTCTCAGGTGTGTATTGATCTTATTTCTTGTTTGGGTTTTGAGAAAATGAAGGAAAAGAAATATATATGTAATTCTGGTTATTATAATGATTGCTTTCAGTATTCTTACTCTAGTTGTTGACCCAATATTGTTTTTCTTGTTGTAGATTTCGGGTGATTCAAGCTCCATCCCTTCTGGTCAATATTTGTTTTTACTCAAATTATCTTGATTTTGTGTTACGGTTAATTGGCAATCAAACAATGTGATGGAAATTCCATCTGATTATGTAAAAGTTTATGATTTTGGTTTTAATATCAGAGCCTTCAGACATCAGGAACTGGTTTTCAAGTTACAAGCACAAATCCTTTGTATTGGATACTTACCATGATTTTGGAAACTATGTTTCAAGAGATAGTGAAAGCAACAAAGACGGGTTTGTTAGTGAAGATAATAAGAGGGAAAAAGAAGAGAACTTGATTGAATCTGTAGAAAAGAGGAACGGTTATGATTCCTGTGAAGATGGTTCTTTTCAAGATAAAGAATGTCTAAATCATAGTCTCAGTGAGGTACAAATTGTGTGTTTTTCCTTAAATTGTAATGCTAGCCTAAATTTGGATGCTCCTTTAAATAGTTTAATCTGGGCTTCAAGATTGAGCCTTTGAATCCTAATACATGAAATGTGGAAAATTTTCTATTATATATGTTATATTGAGCACAATCATTCT